ATACATGTACTAAAATAATGTGCGTATATATGGGAGGACTTACCAAAGCAGAGGATCCATGTACCAAAATAATGTGCTTATACATGGGAGGACTTACCAAAGTAGAGGATCCATGTACCAAAATAATGTGCTTATATATGGGAGGACTTACCAAAGTAGAGGATCCATGTACCAAAATAATGTGCTTATATATAGGAGGACTTACCAAAGCAGAGGATCCATGTACCAAAATAATGTGCTTATACATGGGAGGACTTACCAAAGTAGAGGATCCATGTACCAAAATAATGTGCTTATACATGGGAGGATTCATATACTAAAATAATGTGCTTATACATGGGAGGACTTACCAAAGCAGAGGATCCATGTACCAAATATGTGCTTATACATGGGAGGATTTACCAAAGTAGAGGATCCATGTACCAAAATAATGTGCTTATACATGGGAGGACTTATCAAAGTGGAGGATTCATATACTAAAATAATGTGCTTATACGTGGGAGGACTTACCAAAGCAGAGGATCCATGTACCAAAATAATGTGCTTATACATGGGAGGACTTACTAAAGCAGATGATCCATGTACCAAAATAATGTGCTTATACATGGGAGGACTTACCAAAGTAGAGGATCCATGTACCAAAATAATGTGCTTATACATGGGAGGACTTACCAAAGCAGAGGATTCATGTACCACACCTGGTCTGGTACTTGTCGAGGAATTTGATTGGTTCTTACGGGGTGTTCATACGGTTGTTTACGATAGCCAAAAAAATACCCCAGGAAGACCAGAGGAAGAGAAATACCAAACCACATGCACAATAACGCCATCATGGTTGAAAACGGTACCTGAAAGATAAATCAATTACTCTCTCTTCCTTAGTAATAACAACAGAGCAAATATGTAATCAAGGAAATGCAGGTTTTTATTTTTTAAATACACCTCTAAGAGGTTTTTCTGTTAAAATAATGAGATACTTTATGACATAAACCAAAATATTGAAACCCAAACCAGAAACTAAAAGATCCCCAAAAAGAAGTATCTTTTAGCACTTGTAATTATCCTTTGACTTGTACTCCAACTAGCAGTCGATCAATATGATGTAACTATAACATGGTTCGTTTACAACAGTATAATGTAACTATAACATGGTTTGTTTACAACATTATGATGTAAGTATAACATGGTTTGTTTACAACAGTATAATGTAACTATAACATGGTTTGTTTACAACATTATGATGTAAGTATAACATGGTTTGTTTACAACAGTATAATGTAATTATAACATGATTTGTTTATTATTTTCATGGATCAAGGAAGCTATAATTTTCCTACACTTAAAATGTATTTCTGAGAGGTATTCACCTCCCCTCACATAAATATATATTCTCACTCAGTGCTGCTCTCTTTAGGCAAAAAAATATTTATGCATGCCACAGTTTTTCTATCTCCCCTCCACTGGAATTGACTGATACCAATGCGTCTCTCATGCAAATCATCATTTGTCAATCCTCCACCAATAAGAGTGCAAAATACCCTCATGATGCACGTGACTACCTCTTTTTAATTCTACCGAATTATCACTTCAAGTTTTGGCAGAGAATGGAAGCACCGGTTCTCAGTGGGGAGGAAGGATGGGAAGTGTGAACAGAGGTAAGTACCTATCAGTAATTAATTTTCAGTGTAGAAAATTATAACTTCCAACATGGTACATTACCCCTCTCACATAAATAGCTGGAATTTCACATTGAATAGGTGGAGGAACTGGTGCGAGGAAAAAAAAAGCATTTGAAGGACAATCCCTAAGATGAGACAATCAGATCCTAAGATCTGATGTGGGGAACCACACCACTTCTGAACCAGGTATACTCTTCGCCTATCATAGAAAGATGTTGCATATATGGGAAGAAAACAGAGAAGCACATCCAACTAACAGAGAACTATGGCCAAAAAGTGATTTAAACCATGCAATAGTCATGAAACTCAAACTCAGAAATTATGAAAATGGGTAAAATGAAAAGGATGTGCCTCTAGGTGTAGAGTGGCTAGGGCGTGATGGAAACGACACAGGAAGTCAACTACAATCCAAAACCCAGGCTCCCAGGTACCAACATCCATGTGGGGGTACGAAAGTGGATCATACTGTCTTCAACCCATGAGACTGGAGGGAATCTAGTACCCCCTAACTCATGAATGGGGCACATGTGAATATGATAAATTGATAGACCGATCCAGGAACCCAATATCTGGTATCAAAAAGATGTCTACATAATGTAAACCATTTCCCTCAAAAGTGAAACTGAACGGAACCACCTTGAGCACATTAACATCTTTGGAATAAGAAACATCGAGGGACAGCAGAAGGGAAAGAACCGTAACAATCTGTGAGGGCTTATGTTAATTGGTTCTACTCTAAATCCAAAACACAGTCACTGGGAACTGACATCCATGTGGGGGTAGAATGAAGGATCCCAATTGAAGGGGTAAATTGCAATTTTGACATCTCACTCCCATTTCTTGTTATGTTTCATACTGGAGGATGTACATCATCTACACCAGCAGAACACCACTGCTCTACTCTCAACTGAATGGTCTTATAATCATTTCTATATATTTTTTGTCTTTCATTAACCTATTCAGAAGAATGCCTTCATGATCCACCAACCTAGCAGCTTGGAACTGGAAAGTGGATGGGACACTCAAATTCCGCTAGAAGGGGGGGGGGATAAAACATGGTGAAAAGTCCAGAGGAATGACAACACCTGAGACAGGGCAATAGGTGATCACAAAACCCTATTTTTAAAAGCAGAATATACAATTTATTAAATACAAGGCATGGCAGGGATGGGCAGCTACCCCCTTCTGCTTTACCTATGTAGTCCATTGGAGGGTACGGTCCGAAATGGGCAAACTTATGAAACAATACTATCTTGAGGAAAAACCTACAAGCAAAATTGTGGAACATCCCATCTCTGCAAGGTGAGTTGTGTGACCATGGAATTATAATATGCAAGTTGACATGGCAGGGCAGAATTGAAAGTAAAGAATACCTGGTCAGGCACCTCTCCCCTTAGAGCAGGATCCAAACAATAAACATTAATAAAAGGAAAAATAAGAAGAAAAACTTACCCAGTCTAAGTCATCGACAAGGGTAGGAGGAAGGGTAATAAAAGGAAAAATAAGAAAAAAACTTAGCCAGTCTAAGTCAACGACAAGGGTAGGAGGAAGGGTAATAAAAGAGGACAAAGGATCCCTGCAAAATTCCACTGGTTGTGAAAAGCCCACAAAAAGAGTCTGCATATGAGCTTGACCTAAGGGGATAAGGGTTACCATGGAAGATCACATCTCGAAAAGCAATAGAACTTCGCGAGCTGTAATTGAACTGAAACCCATCGAACTAAGTCATAGATGCATGTAGAAAAAGAAAAACACCCAAAAGGATACAATTTTAAATCGGTCGCAGTAAGGACTTCTCCAACATGATTACAACAGCCCATTATAGCCACCTCCAGGAGGAGCTGATAAGGGTAAAAGGAAAACTTCTGTTCAGAACGAGTGAGTAGTAGTCAGTCAACCAAAGAGAGATGAAAATGCAACCCGAGAGCACATAAGTGACAAACAAATGCTCTGAACAGCCCACAAAACATATAAGGCTAAAGTAAGTCTGAAGGGCATTGGGAAAAACAGAGAAACCACCCCGAGGAGAATAATACGAAGAGAGGGTCGCGCGTGACAAAATATCAGGATATGCAAATAACCATTCTTGACATTCCTCTTTGTCAAAGATAAACCTGGAGAAAAAGTCCACCTATGGTAAAACGGGACAGATTGGAAATTAGAATGACATGGGACAAACCTAGTACAGGCTATCAGTCTCGGGTTTGGTGGGAGGACAACAAACAGCTTGGAATAAAAGACTGGAGAAAGATGATGAACAGGTGGAATGGCCTGTAGGACCAGGAAACCTTTAACCATCTTGAATCGACACAGGCTGGTGACATGATCCTAAGTCATGGGGAAGGAAAAAGGTACCAGGGACAGAAATAGTATGACAAATCCCTCTGATAAAACCCATGGAACTGGAGTGAAATATTGCCAAAGAGTAACAATATAATATAGTCAAGCTCCCACTGGACTGGAACCCTCTGGTTAGTCTCCAGTACAGTTAATAACATGCCCATCAACAATGAATAAAATGATGAGATGAGAAACCCCTGGAAGGGGGACAGGGACGGGTAAATAAGGAATAGTATGGGAAAGGAATAGGGGCGTGTTGTGGCTCTAACTGCAACAAACGTGCAACCAAAGAGGAAATGGATCGACAGTTGATGCACAGATTACACACGAGATTCCAAAGTCTCAGATACCATATGAGAAATTTAAATTAATTCCATAATGACCATGGGAGGTGCTAAAAGCACCCTTCAATCCGTTACATTCTCAGAGTGAATATATTTAATCAAACTGCATGAAACTTGTTGCAAACATTCTGAGCAGAGTCTGGTTTGTGAATGAACAAATTTACATAATTCACTATAGTAATTATATCATATATTAAGATGTAAAATCCTTTTTAAAAATGCAATAAAATTGTGTCCTATCATCTTAGACTTTTTACTTTTATTTTTTGGTTAGTGATCAGAAAGTCTTAAATTTTAATACTTAAATCACCATCTTGTTTCTATACTGTTCACCCACATACTGCATTAGATCAGGTTATTTTATACTTTTTTGCCTCTTACTATAATCACTGTAAAAAAGGAAGTAAAAATATTGAGCATGATCCCCTATTTTTTAAGTAAAATAAATGGGGAACCTGAAAGTAATATTGATGATATTTTTTGTTGCGTTAACCTGATGTTATTAGAAATCCAGTTACAATTAAAGTCATGGATCAACACATAATAGGGTACATGAATGCTGTACAAAATGTATTTAATTCTACAGTTAATAAGATGAGATCAAGTTTGTTTACTTGTTTGTTAGACTATAGAAATAGATGTTAATGTATTATTATTATTTTAGTGTATTATCATAAAACATAGACATTTATAATTTTAGCTTTATTTGCTAATCCAAGTCAACAAAATTACAACAAAGTATATATATCAGTTCATTTAAAAATCATGAATATATTTATAATTATATACAGTCTAAATAAGAATAATTTTGAATTCAATTTAATGACATTAAAAATATACCGTTTTTTAATGTTTGCGGTGGTTTCACTTCTACTGTACTGCCAATGAAGACATTATTTATATGCTAACCACACACACACAATAAATGCTTCATTCTATAAGGTAATCTACTTGGATTAACTTTACCAAAGATATAATGCTTGATATTCATTTAAGAGGTGAAAATGTTCAGATGAAGAAAAGTATATTTAATCTTAAAATGAATATCACTTTGCACTCGGAGCAGTCAAAACCCTAACATCATACATTCATGAACATATCTTTAGTAAAAATACTTAATTCAAAATTCTAACTTTTAGGTTACTAAAGCTTTAATAATGGCTGGAGACGGC